CATGGATTCCTAAAAATAAAACCATACAGGATTCCATTACAGTCATGCTTTGAGGTCAAAGAGATTAAGCATGGGGAGGGGAAATAGTTCTAGGAACTTCAGAGTAAGATTGTGTTCGCTCTAAAAAACACAGTCAAAATAAAGAATATGAAATAATGGATTGAGAAAGGTTCTAGAGAAATGGAAGAGAAAGAAGAAACATTAGAAGAGGAGAAAAAGTATATAAGAAACTGAAGGCAAGATAATTTATCGACATATTTTTGTAATGCTTATTATAAGCATGAAAGCATGGTGGGATATCTGCCACTCTACTTTCTGAGCAGTTGAGATAGTTATTAGGAGAGGATAAGTTACAACAGACTTCATAAAATTAAATTAGCCCCACAGTATACACAGAAACGATTCAGGGGAAAAAAAAAAAACAAACCAATCTTAACAGAGTAAGACCTTAACAACACCAACCCAAAAGTCAGTCTGAATTTTCCCAGTCCATAATTATACCTCTGCCAGATTTTTCCCTGAGTTGCTCAGGTATGGACTTAACATTTGTAAGTATGGCAATGGACTGGAATCCCAGTCCATAGGAACTTTAGTTTTAAAGAGCAGAATTTCAGGACACTATGCAAATAAAGTCAAAACAGCACATATAACAAAGTTAATGCTAACAGCAATGCCTCTATATCTGATTAAAATAATCTTATGCTATACTCCTGTTACTTCTACAAATATTTCTTACAGACCTGTTAGGAATAATCAAAGTATTTGACCTGCACATATGACCTATTACTAACATGAGGCAAGTACACGCTTCCTGAAGTTTTCTGGGACAGTTCCTACGGATCCAACAATCCTGTATGGTAGCCTCTTTATAGCCGAAAGGAGACTGACATTCCTACTCTGCAATCCAATTTGTGGTAGAGCAATAAGAGTGACCGGGTTCTCCAGATTTAAATAGGCAGAAAGGGGGTTGAAAGGAAAACACAAATTTATATGTCTTTGCTATAGCCAAGAAATGAACTAATAAGCCATTACATCCAGTGGTTAAATGTACTTGGAATGTAAATGTAAATAGAATTATAGGTGGACTAAAGACAGGACTTCAAATGTACAGTCCACACAGTAAAAAGATTTATAGAAGCCAGCTCATTATGCTCCATGACTCACTATAATTTATTTAATTCTCTAATCAAATAATAAAAATGGAAAATCAGAACTAATGTCAGCAAATAAACCCAGAAAAAATAAGCTAGTAGCTATAAACAGGCAAATAAAAGGGTCTGACAGAAGAACTGAATATTGATAGCTAGAATCATCAACATGAGCAAAGAAATGGACTAGGCAAAGCCAGGATAACTGTGCAGCCACAAAATGTCTGATTGGTTTAACTCAAGCACTTCTTGACTTGCAACTGGTTGTATTCTTATCCACAGTGTGAAATTAAATTGATCTTATCACTGAAAGTGACATATTATTTTGTAGTTCTCTTAGAAGCAACTCAGAAGAAATGAAGAGTGCAGAAGACAATTGAATACAAGTAAAGTTTTCAGCACCTTGGAAAAATAAGACCACTTCCCTGACACCCAGATACAAAAATAATTATCTGCTCCAAATTTTTAGGCAACATGCTTAACACAATACAGAAAGCTTAAGTTATTTGAAACAACCAATTGTTAGCTGACCTAATCAGTGCTTCACCAGTTGAGCAAAAAATAGATGCCACAGGTTTTTACATTAATTGAAATGTTTTGTCCATTGTATGTAACAAATTTGTTTCTAGTTTGAAGATATAAACCCCAGGATTTAAGAAACAAAACAAAACAGACGAGAGGCTTGATTTGTTGTGGTTTGTTTGGTTTTTTAAATCGCCTCTATCTTACTAAACAGGCTACTAGAGCTAAGCATTACCATGTCTAGTAAATGCATGTCACTGTTCTTCACATTTCGTCCAGGGCTTAGTAGCATCCCAAAGCATCTGTGAAGTTTATTAAAAAAAAAAAAAAAAAAAAAAAAAAAAAAAAAAAAAAAAAAAAAAAAAAAGAAAAAAGATAGCCATTAGCTTTTCAAAATACAAAAGTATTTTCTTGAACATAATGGCACAGCCACCTACTGCTTCTAATTTAAAGAAAACCTTTCTTAGTAATTTTTTTGTTAGTGTTATGGCAACACTTAGGGAACATCACAATACATATTATCAAAATGACAATGAAATTATTTTCCAGAATGAAGATGACAAATTAGTGTCTGACCTGTGAACAATCAATTATTCTTAAAGACAACTTAGAATATTGAGTTTAAAGATAACAACAATTTATATACATTAGTGATGGAGATTGGCAGGAAGAAATTCACTCTCCCCAGTCCGCTTTAAAAATTGTTTTCATAAAACCATATGAAAAGTTACAAATTCACACATTGTATCACCCATAATGTCACTTGTAAAGCATCATTTAGCATCATAGACCCTTAAAAAATCTGAATTTGCTCAATTTTTAGACTTTCGTTCTTTATTTTTAAAAAATTAATATCTATATTATACAGGGCCTTGAATTCCAGGATTCCAGTCCAGTCATTTGAAGAGAAAATGTTCTTGATATTATTAAGAGTAAAAAAAAGTGGAATTCCAAAATATTCTTAACACACTCAAGACTTTTGAACTTTCTGAATATTGAAGGCTGTACTCAAAGAGGACCCACTTGAATCAGGTTGCCCAGGGCCTTGCCAAGTCAAGTCCTAAGCATCTCTGAGAATGAACAACCTCTGTTGGCAACCCGTTCCAACGCTCAACTCCCTTTGTGTTGACAACAACTGGCCTCATACAACAGAGGAATTTCCAGGGAAGTAACTTGTGTCCATTGACTCTAACCCTACCATTATGCACCTCCAAGAAGAGTCTGGCTCCATCTCCTCCATACCCTCCCACCAGGTATTCGAATGCACCAGGAAAAGTCCCCCATTCCCACCTTCTCTAAGTCTGAACAAAAGCAGTTCTGTCATCTGGGCAACCCACTTATCCAAATGAAAATTTAGATTTTTCAGCAAACATAAATTGTAAGAGATTATTTGAGCATTCATAGGAGAGCAATGAAGACAGAATAGTTTCACAGCTTTCAGGCAAGCACACTGTATCATGAACAGAGATACAATAGCAACTATCATTTTAATAATGCTATTAACTGTAAAAGTCTTAAGATAATGCAATTACTACATCATCTAGTAACTTTGCCCCTATTACGTTTGGGTATATGATTTTCATTTTCCACCTCATTACACTTAAACAGTAACTTACATCCACAATTGTATTTTTCCTTCTCCATACTCTTTCACTACTAGAATCTTAAAAATCAAAGTAGTAAATAAAACAGTAGACAATTTTGACTTATCTATATGGTATAATGCAGTGCCATGTAAAGCAACCAAGGTAGCTATGATGCTAGGACTTACATTTAACCACACAAGCAGGCTTCTCTATGAGACTAATTACAATGGGCAGAATGTTACAGTAGACTGACTGACTACTTTTTGTTCTTGAGGTAACAATAACTCTGAGGGCTATAATTTGTAATAGTAGAGGGCTCACTAGCTTCTGGTACACCTGCTAAAGAAAACTGTAAGGCTAAGATTCAGAAGCAGGCAAAGTATCTGTGCTTTTCAAAGACAACAGCTCACAGATCCTCGCTCTTGCTGTGCTCCTCTCAGATGTACACAAGTTCTGATGTGTGCCAGCCAAAATTTTTGGGAAGTACGCTTCCAAAAGAGTGGGAGTCAGGAACAAGTAACCCCTGCCTCTCACAGAAGCAGATACGTATGATGACTGGCAGCATCCTGCTACTTAGAAGAGTCAGGGCTTCTATTCCCACTAAATTCAAAGAGCAAAATAAGTTCAAATGAGTTCAGGACCCTCACTTGCAGAGGAGCTAGATTTTACACAGCTGTCAACACATTCAGCCTCCAGTTTGAGGAGGCTGAACCACACACCCAGGATTCAAAGTGACCTGCATAGACTGTGGGCCTCAGTCTTGCCAATTCTGACATGTTGGGTTTTCTACACTTACAGCTGGCTACCAAGTGGCTATGTGCAGGTGTACTACTCTGTTTAAATTCAACTAGTTCCTACACCTGCAAAAAAAAATCTGAAATTATTCTTCACTAAGATGTATTGCCATTTATATAAATACAAATGCTACCCATGTATAAGGCTTATGGTATTAAGTTAACATGGAAACAGGATTTTTAAGTCTCCAGTGCTACTGAGCAACCAACCAATATTCTGTATATCAGTTCTAAAGACACCAGTCTAGACTTTAACCTAAGCTATACCTACATAACTTGGTATTAACTCTCCTGTATGACTGGTAGCATACTATATTTAAACACCACGCTATCGAGAACAGAGTCAATCCTCTTTATTTCTCAGAATGAAAGGCTATTTCACTCTTCAGAACAACTTTCTTAAAGCCCCCTGATCATTGATCAGAATTTTCTTCTTGAATCCTGTAAACAACTGAGACTTGATATCCCACATTGTGGGACTGAACCTATATAGTGCCACACATGGCTCAGACCTGGGAGACAGGAATTAACATAATTTCTTTACCTGCTTTGACTTAGATAAAAACAAGCAAAACACGGGTCAAACAGGCCACAAAGGCAGGAAGGGCCAAACTAACTCAGCTGAGAGTAACCTACTATCAACCTAACCCAGCCATAGGCCCTATCTGAACACCAAGGAGGTGGCAAGTTTCTCTGAGAGATACCACATTTACTCTTCTGAGACCATGAAGAAAGATTCTTGAACATTTTAAGACCAGATACCAAATTTCTTTAGTAGCAACATATTTTCGCATTATAATTTACACTTAGAAATACTTCTTGAGGACACATTAAACTGCTTAGAGGCTCACCATCTGATGTAACCTGAATTGATCTTTTATACCAGTTTTGAATTTTAACATTATGCAGTGTACATAAAGTACATAAAATGACTTACAAACCCATGTATGTCATGTCAATTAACTAACTTTTTATTGGCAGAGCTTGTGGTGATAAAAATAACATCGTAACTGAGTATCCTAAACAATATAAAAATAAAAACTAATTTCCAAGGAAGGTAGCTTTACTTTTTGGGGAAAAAAACCAACAATCAAGTGCTATTCAGAAACACTGAAAATAATTCATCATTCATTAACTCAATTCTGAAGCCAAAATTTTTTAAATTAAAAATACACTGGAAACAGGATTTTTTTTAAAGACAATGAGTAGCAAAAGCACAATTTTACAACACAAAATGATGATAAAAAATTCTGCTATATATTACTTGTCTAAAATTTTAGTTTCATTTTTTAAATAAGAACTTGAAAGCAAGTGAATAAATAAATCTTAGGTTCTGGGAGGGTTGTGGGGCTTTTTTCTTGATTCTCCCATTATCCTGAATCCCCTGTTCGCTAAAATTGAATTCTCCTATTGTTACTCTCTTGATAAGATTGCCATCTGGTGGCGTTTGTTATTTTTTAAAATTGAGCTATTGAGAAGGAATTTCCTAATTTAAATTAACACAATTCCTACTACTACTGTAGTAACAAGAGTTAATGTGCTAATGAACACATTAACTGTTATTCTTCACATGCATGGTCCACTTCCTGTGCAAATGCTTTGCACAACCGGTCAGATTATTCTGTCCAAAAGGGATCCCTCTCATGCAACTTCCAGGAAATACACCATGAGTCATCAATCGTTCCTGCGCTCTTCACCATCACTTCAAGATAAACATTAGAATCATGTTATAACAAGGTTGCAAAGGAATCCTACTCATCTTGAGGACTCCACCAAAAAATTGCTTCTGCTAACCAGCAGGCTGAGTGCAAACTTGCAGTGTTCCAGTACATTGATCTAGCAGATTAATGATCCCAAAGGTTTAACATAGTTCAGACAACCTAACTTTCTTACTTTTACTAAACAGTGAGATGCTGGCAATGCAGGATTACAACAAATGCATGGGTTTGCACTACTTAAAAACAACAGAAAGCAAAATCAAAAGCATTTGAATGTCATAAGTATCCTAACACTACATTCAAAAAGACAATTAAAAGGCAAAAAAGAACATTTGAGTATTACAGGGTATGTTTCTTGGTTTTACCTATAAAAAAACCCCAACAAATATGTGAAAAGAAATTTAAAACTGAACTGCACACCTATAAATTATATTGTGCAATAATACTTTCTGTGTTACTGTTATATTTCTTTCCGACACATAACTTGCAAAGCCAGGGAAAAGTACTTTAAATACCGTTCTCCCAAAAACTTAACCTGCATTATTTTTATAAGAATCTTACCTTTCAATGGCCAGTTCTTTGTTCGAGAGTTGCTGAACTGTAATCACCACTTTCTTCTCAATTCCCTGTTTAAGCTTGAAATATAATTTCTCTCTATCCTTTGGCACAGGGCTAAGATAATAAAAAAAACAAGTTTCTTTAGCACAGGTACAGAAAATTAACTGTTAAATACAGAAAAGAGAGCAGCAGCCCACTTAAACTGTTAATGGCTCAACTCATTTGAGAGACCTTATCTCCCGAAAAACGGGCGATAGGCACACATTTACTATGTTGTCTGGGGGATTTATCAGACAAATGTATGCAAAAATGCATGGAGTATTTTAGGTTCTAAAATAATAGAAAACATTCTATACACTGGCTATGAAGCAAAACATAAGTAGGACATTTTCACAGAATTAACTGTTATTATCAACTCTTTCTTCCATTCCAAAAAATCTTGTCATTAACTGTTAGGCAAAGAATACTTTGCTCCCCTATCCCCTGTAATACTTACAGAAGTTTACATTTTCTAAATCTTCAATAAATGGGGAATTCATTAGCTTATTTAAAAAACAAACAAACAAACAAAAAAAAACCAAAAAACAGAACACTCAAAAAAACCCGAGAATACTAGACTATATTTGTTCAAGAAAATTGGTTTGACTGATGTTTTTAACAGACTTCCTACTATTTTTTCCATTTACGCAGGCCTACCTTGAACATCCCTACCAGAAAGCACGTATTTAAAAGAAACTAACTTGAAAAAGGTATCCTGATTTTTAATCTTTTTACAGAAAAGATACAGAGAAGGAAATTGTAAAAGCAAAGCAACTGCTTCCTTTTTATAACACGTCTATTTATGTAATGAGGCCAAATCAATTTTACTGCAACGTAGTAACTATGCATTCTGCAAGCAGCTATACACTTTTTGCAAAGAGATTTCTACTCTTCCCTTTCCATTTAGATTACCTAAAATTTCCTTTTCCATCATCTTCTTTGACTTCTAAGGAAACACTGAAAGTGTACACGTCACTATCAGGAGTAGGAAGAACAGAGTCCTTAACATGATCAGATGCTTGTTTGGAAGAACGTTTGAATGCTGTTGAGAAACTATATAAAATTCGGCTGACCTGCAGAAAAGCAAAAGAATTAATAGTTTTATCAAAAATAAAAGAGTATTTTTAATGGAATATTGTGATGTGGTTTTGAAGGTTATAACACTACTGTCACCTGTCTCTCATACTGAACACAAAGTGTGCCTCATAAAACACAACATTCAGATCAGGTATTTAATAACCGAGCACATTCAGTAAAAACATCTCCTATTTCCACTTGTGTCACATTCACTGCTCATGTAATGCTCAGTAAATTATTATATATTACAAGATTAGGAATGCTACTCAGTAGACGACTTGAATAGTGTACTTCCCAGGTTGTGCATTTAACAACACAACTTACAGCTTTCTCTTGCAGATGTCAAAAAACAAGGCAATTTCTTCTTTTTCAACCTCTATTCTTCCACCCTAGAAAATCCTTTTCTCCCAAACTATCACGTAGTTCTTCCTAAAATACCTAGAGCAGAGTACTGTAAAATGATACTTTGTAACTCACAAAGTCTACATTGCAACTATAGCCTGAAACCTACCCAAATGAGGCCTGAAAAACAAAATACTGGTCTTAAACTTAGGCTTTCTAAATCTTCCCATTATAGTGCACTTTGGAATTTTATTGAAATACTAAAAGAAAAAAATTAAATTATATTAATATTCACGTATGACTAGCTGCACATTCTGTGAAATTCATTATATATGTGTTAACATATTTTTCAAGGCACTATCTATATACCATTTCCACATCTGGAATAGCTTCTTAAAATACCGCTTATATCCTTCTCACAAGTCACTGTACAACATTTAATACTTACTGCCTCTTTAATCTCACAGGAGAAAACATGGATCTGGAACTCTTCAGTTCCACAGCTGCTTTCAGTAAATGCAAAACAGTCACTCTCTGAAGTTCCATTTTGTCCCCGTACACAAAACAACACCTTATAAATTGGAAAAGAGGCTATCTCCACATTGCTTGATTGATCTATTATTCTGTCAAGGGAAGAAACATGGAAGATCAAAGAAAAAGGTCAGTAAAACAAGCAGGCCTACCTAAAAGACTGTTCTGCAATTAGATAAACATCTAAACTGTAATTTCTACTAAATTCAAGTACACAAGATGAGCAAGTAAGGCTTAACAAATTTAAGATGTAAATGTTTCTGGTTGTAACACTGGCTTACTTTTTTTTTATGCTCTACACTACAGACAAATATAGTACCTCTATATCATGCAATAGCAATGACCATCATTGCTCTGCAATCGTTTGTGAAAAACATGAGTAGAAATGTAGAAACCACAGCAATCGTGGAAATGCAATTTGCATACAGAGATCAAAGAAAATTCAACACTATAAAAAAATTAAAATCTCTAAGAAGACATTAATAAAACATTATTTATTCAGAATCTACATGACTACATAGCTTAGCAAATTCTTGCTGCCATGTTCAGGTGAATATTAATCACAGATCTAATGTTTCATACAAAATTTTAAATTCCTCTCAAACTCAGAACCCAATAAATATTTTGGAAACTTTAAAGAAGACAATGAGGGGGGTGATCTCAGAATGACCTACTAGACAGTGAGTTTTAAAGAATAACAGTTAGAACTACACAGTTCTCCCCTGTCTTTTCTCTCCTTGTCCATATGCACATTCACACCAAGGGTGAATAATCATTTGTTACCTGGAACAGAAACCCAAGTTGGTAACAATAAAATTAAAGGACTAATCTTCTAAAGGCAAGAAAAGCCCAGAGAGGATTCAGCATGCTGTAATATTGGTGGGACATGTTAAATGGAACTCCACATGACAAGTGTGCAGATACCAGGAATGGAAACACTCCTCAGAGATGACACTGGTGTCACTTGAATTTTGACGGAGTGTATTATATCACATGTGGATTCACCTTTACAGTTCTGTGCAGATTCTTAGGCAGTCCTTCACTTAATGATGTTGTCTGCAATTAAAGATCAAAGGAACCTGCAGTTTCACTTGCAAAACAATCTTCTTGAATGGCCACAATGGTTATGAAAAAAGGTACAATACACCTAACATCTAGTACCTATGTAACAGTTGCCATCATAAAAGCATGCAGTGTAATTCAATCCCTAATTCAAATTAAATATTGCCATAACATCAAATTAAATCTTTAATGGGTTCAAAGGGCAAAATGGAAGAAAATAATATATGTGTTTGAAGGTCCTTCTGTCTTTCTGTGCAAGATAACAGTCAATACATAGGCAGAGCACAGGAAAGGAAGGAAATCTAACCATACCCTTCAGATATCCTGGTATCGGAGTTTAAAAATAAAAATCTTGAATTTTGAGACGCTCCCTACTTCTGGATAGAAGACCAGAACAGGTACGTCTTTAATGCACCCTGATTAAGAACCCTTGACTCTCTCATCACTAATTAAAAGACCCTTCTCAGATAGGACAAGTAAATGTTTTCTAGTATCTAGAAACTATCAGCATTTATATCACAAGGCAGACACAGGTGAGGCTTTGCTTTAGCATAGCAATGTCTGGAAATAGAAACTAGTATCTGAAGTCCTCATTAAATACAGAATAGTCTAGAACTGAAACTTCAGCTAACCCACAGCCAGCAGGACTATTACTGTCCCAGCACATTTACCTTGGAGGTGATGACAGACTAGGGAGGTTGGGAGAAAACAGGCATTATCAGCTCTCCCTTTCCAGTATATCATAAATCACTGAACAGGATGCTTGAGAATATTTAGCCCTACAGCTAACAAACAGGCACTTGCTGATAATCGATAGAGAGACACTGACCCTCAGACTTATCCCAGGCCCAAAAGATGACTTTCAACCTCACACTTCATCTTCAGGATTCATTGGTTTGAAATGGCTCACATAATCCTTCATGGTGTAAGAGCTTTGGGCAAACAACCACAAACAAGTGAATGTGATCATTGACACAGCACTTCCACAGGTCAGCTGCTTCCCTTTAAAAGGCAAAGTATTCCGCTCTACCTGATTACTGACAAGGAGCATTACTACCATGTTCTGTACCATTTTTCGCAAGCAATGGCATGCACACATAGACAAAAAGTATGATAACATTTCTCTGTGCTTTAAGTTCCAAGAGATTTATACCTAGACAGGCAGGCACCACAAATTTGCAGGCAGCTTGCATGAATGAACTATCTGGACAGAGAGGCATCTCTCATTATCATATTAGAAGAGAGATGCAGGTAGAGAGAGATGCTTTTGTTGACACTGTATGGCAACCACTAGCACCAGCTATGTACTGCATGTCAAATTTGAGCATGCATTTTGTTGATTCAGAGGAATTTCTCAAAAATAACTGTCTTCAGCAAGAACTTTAGGCGCAAATCCAGCAATTCTATTTCCGTGTGTGAATAACGAAGTCAGAATCCACCTTTTGTCTGTGCAAGTAACAAAAGAAACATTTGTATGTTACCTTACAGAGCCTTCTGGAATGTTTGGAACATAAAGTGTTACGGGTAAAGGGACTTGACTTGAGCATTTCATGTTTGCCATAGCATGTAGAGCTTCTGGTTCATTTCGAGGGGCAGACACCTTTGTACAACCTAAATAAGTCAGTTTGTTAAACAACACGCTGTCTTCTTCCAGGGGTTCACTAGGAGAAGATGGCCTTGGTGCGGAGATTTCTGAAAATTAAGAAACAATTCATTTAACCATGTGTTTTTATTTTTACATGTTGTTTTCTGAACAAGTTCCATAGTAAAATCTCCCACACTTTCTGAGAATAGACACGGGGGTCAAAAGTCCAACTCCAATAGTAAGAAATCAATTTGGCAGCTTAATATTAAATCTATTCTATTCTAATGTATGTTTCCAAATATTACACAGGGATAAATTGGCTTTTGATTCTTTTAAGCAGTGCTAGAACACAAGTTTTCCTTAAGCTCCATTCCCCAGATGTTCTTTACTTTAGTTTGCTTATACCTCCTTCTAATTCCTACTCATAATTTTGCATAACGATGCCTGTAATTCTCTTCTCTCCCATGTCTTTACAGCTTGTGTAGAATTATTAAGTGTGGTTCACATTCCTGGGATAGCTATACTGACTGCATGAAACCATCAGGGAGCAGGAAAAAAGAAAAGGTATGTCTGTTTGTTCCTCTACTCAGCAGAAGAGAAATGTTCTTTTTCCACTAACACACTACTATAGAGAAGGCCAATCTTGAGGGAGCTTTTGGGAGTTTTGCTGTTGTTGTTTTCTGGTGGGTTTTTTTAAGGCATTTTGGTATTTGAGAAACAAGAGGAGATGTGGAAGAAAAACCCATTAAGTATGAAATAAGAGTAATCTAGATTGGAAAAGACATCTAGAGGTCATCTAGCTTTAACTCCTGCTCAAAAACCAGATCAGGTTAGATTACAGCTAGTTTCAAAACTGGATCAGATTACTCAGGGCCCTGTCCAGCTGAGTTCTGGTATCTCCAAAGACAGACATTCCAAACCTCTTTAAGTAATGTGCCCTGTTATTTCTATGTCTTGTTACTATAGCTAATATTTCCATAATACTTAAATCATAAAGGTTGCAAAGTTGAATTATTTCTATTGGGGTGGGGATGTATCTATGAGTATTTCTTTCTTCTGTCATGCCAAGGGCTGTGTTCTGTTCCCCTGTCAGACAGGGAGCCAGTAAAGTAAGTTTCTCAAAATTCAGCATATATGTAGTTAAGAGAAGGGTGCATAAACTTCTATCTTTTTCTACCACAAGACGTTTTTTTACTTCCCAAACAGATGCTGTGGGAATTACCTCATACAATGCCACAGAAGTGCTCTGCATACTACTGAGGGAAAAAGAATTCTAATTCAAGGTCCACAGAAATGGTGACAGCCTTGTATTCCTAATATATATTTAAAAAAACCCTACAAGATATTTTACATAAAATACATATAGTTTATATAAAAAGCTTTCAGTTATCCCTTTTTCACCAAAACTTCAAATACCAGAAAAGCACCTCAATCATTCCTAGCAAATATCAAATCTAAAACCTGTCCTTACTGATACTTGGTGACAGAATCAGAGCTGAAAAGTTTATCAGTTTGCTCAGGGTAGAATTCATTTGTAGGCAGTACTGTCAATGAACACTTCTCATACCCCATCAGTAGCATCTCTACCTCAACTATAGACCACTCAGCAAGTTACATGATACTTAATCCCAACCCATCTAGAGCTGGAGACAAAATGAAAATCATCTTTACCAAAACAGGAGCACAGGCTATCAATCTGACAAAAATCTATTCCTGTCTATAATCCCCTCAACTAATCAGAAAAGGAGAGGAGGCACCAAGGTATTCTCCCCTATAGTTTTGGAATGAAGCTCCAAAAAGTTTTATGTTGATTTTAAGGTTAACTTGAAACCGCAGAAAGAAAAAAAGACTGATTAAGGGGGGAAGCACTTCAGCAATACCTGTAGTAGAAGGGTCTAAAACAAGGTGTAAAGACGGCTGATTTGTTTGATCTGCTGGCTCATCTCCAGCTCCCTGGCTGCTTGCATCACTGGAACCTTCTCGGAGAGTGGTGAAATTGTTCTGGTCTTTTTCAGAATCCCTCAGTATCTCTTCCATTGCCTTCTCCAGTTGATCATCTCCATTTGAAAACACCTGTAAGCAGGACATGACATTTTTTAAAGGTACTGGTCGGTTTACTTTCACTATTCTTTTTCAAATATATAGTCTTACTTATAGCAAAAGTTAAGAAACTTTGCTGAACAAGACAACACACTAAGAACCAACAAAATTAAACCAAATGTAATTCAATGTCCCATCCCACTACATGTAATGCACATATTCCCACTGCTAATCCAACAACCACACATCTAAAAGCTACAGACCTCTCAAAGTTTGTGTGCTTAGATCCTCCATTCAGAACAAAGATCAACAGACCTTGTTACAGATTAGTCTTAAAGAAAATTTTACTTTCTTAGTCATATCCAATCCATTTCAGCTGTTTCACTAACACATAGGAGGGGTACAAGACTAAGGAAAAGGCAAAGACATTCCCTAGGAAAAAAAAAAAAAATCCAGCCTTTCACAAGTACTAGCTTTTCAGACCAAAGAAAACCCATGGCCAACAATAAAGTTGCATCACAGATTCTACCTCCAGTTCACCTGCCTCTTTCCAGACATAATTACTAAAGAAGCAGCTAGTGTTTAATACAGACAGAAATGATCAGTTGTAAATAACTGCCAAACAGTTATGCAGAGACAGACTAAGTACTTGTCATTTCAAGGGGAACAAATTCCTATTGTTCCAAGCGGACCAAAACCAGTAAACCAGCTACTGAAACTCAAGTGGGGAAATTTGTAATTAACCAAATCAGCTGTCACCCAAATGCTAAAATATTCTGCTATTTAGAGATACAAAGCTTTTAGAAAAGGTCTTAGTCATGCCTAAAGTAGCACTAAGCAGGAAAACTAAATTAAAAACTAAAAACCAATACCCTCTGTGGTCTATTCCTATGCAGCCTAATTATGTGCTTTTAAGATACCAACATTTAGAGTCTCTGATCCCTAAATAAAGAGTATTTCCCAAGCTTTAATCTGAAGGTCATTCTTTGAAAAGAACTTTTCAGTCCTTTACTAATGTATAAATCCACAGAATACTAACAAAGCTGACCCCTGAAGAAGTTATTAAAAGAAAAACTGTCACTTTTAGACAGATTTGCTTAATCTGAGCTGTTAATTTCACTAGTAATAAGCAAGGACAAAAATGAAAGCCTAAGAATCTCCTCAAGCACACACAAGTATCTTTAATTAAATATTCAGAAGAAGTTGCAATCTTTTGATCAATACAAATCTTACTACACATTTAAAATAAAGTAACAACAAACCTTTAGCTGAGGTTTTTCATCTTTTCCAGAGGTCCCCTCAGACTGCTGATGAACCAGGACAAATTCTTCATTAATTAATGTGGATACAGTTTCAGGAATCCTACTGGCTTTGCTAAATGACGTTTTGACTTCCATCTCAGGTCAGTATTCTCCTCCCACCACAAGAACCTAAGAAAGAAGAAAAAAATATTAAATCATTAGTTTTGAGGCTGTAAACAACATGTTAATAGGTGTAATATGAAGTTATTGTAGAATAATATAATACTTAAGAGTTATACGAATGTATTATACCATATTCCTCAAACTCTGATTTCATTGGTGTAAGGAATCTCTTTTTAAATAGCAAGTATGATTTTTAGGGTGTGTGTTTAAAAATCCTATGATTTAACAGCAGTGGCTATTATCTATATGTACAGATAACACATGACGAAGTTCACCTTGGAGCTTCCACTTTCCCTGCTATTGTCACCTTTGCAAGGCTGGAAAGTGCCCAAAGAGAGGTAGCTCAACCACACGTCTGTTGCGACTCGTGAACAAGGACAGGTTTAGCTTCACGTTGCTTTTCACAGCAGTACCAAGGTGCAGAATTGTGCCATGCTTGCATCTCAGTTACAGTTCCAAAATACCAAGTAATGAAGAAAAGAATGCAAATTTAGGTCTAGCTATAGGAAACCAAAAAAACAACACTTAGAAAAAGACATGCATGTTCTCCACCACTCTGAACAGGCATTACTTAACGAACTAGCCACTAGAGGTAGTTTAGCAACTTCAGTTCAAAAAACAAATGTCAGAACTAGACTACTTTCAGTACAAAAATATTTTGTATCTTTTTTGAAACTATAGTCAACAAGCTTTTACTCTTTCAAAGACTTGGTTTGTCACAACCATTTAGACATGCAACTCTACAAAAAGACTTTCCCTCTCCTTAACCTAGCCACAATTTTACCCATCTACCCAATGAGGATATTACGCATGGAAATCCCAAAATAACTAAAGAACTTAAGTTCTTTAGGTAAACTGACTTGTATATAGCATAAAAACTGGTTAGAAGATTCACGTTATAAAAAAAAAAAAAACCACTAAACCAACAGCTATAATATTCAGAGAGTGATTACAAATACGGATTGTCTTTTACATCTCCAGACTAAGCATGAATTCACAAGCATGACTATTTTTCAGACAGATGATGTAATCTGAGCTCCACCCAAGCCAAGTAATGGATTCGCCACTGAAATAAGTTTTGTTTCAGTGTTTTAAAGTATCTTTGCTTTAAAGATCTCTCTGGCAAAAGAAATACAAAGTTTTAATACCCAAGATTTTAAGTATGTTATAAAGAGTTTATTGAGTCCACGTATTTTTTTAACAAGTGTCATGTAAAAATGTTGCTGAAGAGCTTGTGTATTATCTGCAATAAACAGCAAGTCGAGTTCAAAATGAATAGTAATTTCAAAGTAAATCCTCAATATAAAAGTGAAGGTCTGCTATTATAGAACTCTTCAAAGGCAATGAAAGGACATAAAATTATGTTCCCCAAATACAGCATATCCTAAGTAATCATTAGCTCTGCAGTTACACCATCATTGGAGAAAAGAGCAGAGGATGACTGTCAGTCCCACTGGCCTCTCAGGAGCAAAGACCTAGTCTACCAGAAGCCTCTCTCCCTCCCACCCTATACCTACCACAGCAATAGACTTCCTGAAGATGAAGACGAGAAAGCCTCACCACTACTTCTAGCACATTTGCAGAAAGGAGAGATCACACTATTTTGACAACTTTTTGTGGTTTAGTCTATTTAAGTTTATTTTTTGTGCTTACTTACAGGAGAATAAACCAGGAACTCCAATATAAGATGGTCCTACTATGTGAATTATCAAAAGCCAAAAGCAAGCTGCTAATGTTAGCGTATCACCCATTCTTCTTTTTGCAGCAAAGAAAGAACTGACAGGCACACTGTGAACTAGGAAAAGTTCTTTGTACAATATTTTAATAATAAAACCAGGGGAAAAGTAACATTTATGAAGCCAGATAAAATTATGATAATGCAACCAGAGAAGCATACTGATGTACAAAATATTTATTCTTGCCCTATGTGGATAAAGGCAGCTTAAGAGAATTCCTACTTCCTAAATTTTAATCAGAAAGACAAAATATTATAAACATTAGATGACTGAAAGGAGTTTCTTGTTCAGATCAGGTACTTGGAAGCACACCATACACATTCTTGCAATTACATTTGAGTTGCAAGGCCTTTAAAGTCCTTAAGAGTGTACTCCAAGCTTGTCCTTACAATCAGCTTAAACCACCATATCCAGTGAAGATACAGACCTTTTCCCATACACAGCTACGTTAGCTGAAGAAATTACCACCCCAGCACCCCTCATTTCAGCCTTTCATTATAGCCTACTCCAACCTGCCATCAGTATTAGTCACATGAATGCCCTCTACCCCATTTCAGTCAAAACAAAGCCACATTAGTTTCAGTTTAGTAGTGAAACAGGAACACAAACAGGTCAGACATTCAGGAAGCGAATGCCTCTACCAGAAGAATGCACTTCCACACTCTTTAGCTCACACAAGTACAGTTACAAGAACAAGTCTACATGCCGCTCAGGTCTTCTGCTAAGACAACCTCTTGATGTCCATGCTACAGAACTTGCTTGCCATATGACAAATTACTAGCAGTGCACTAGTTCATGGAAAATTTGTGTACTAAAAATGAAAATCTCAGAGTGAACAGACTGTTCATTTCCTCCCCCATTCTAGTCACATGCTATTCAGAAAGCAAAAGCTTTATACACAGTGTTTTATGATCAGTCTTTGATCAAAAATATTTTTCAATGCCAGAGACAAACTATGTACCAAAAATCATGATCGAGCCATTTTTCAAATTAAACAACTTGAGTGAAGTTCATGTCAGAGTTTATGAATGTAACCAGGAGTCTCATGAAGATTATTGATATTTACACCATCTTAAGTAGTAAGCTACTTGTAAAAAGTTTTATTTTTACGTTATAAATGCACATGATCTAATATTTCAGCTAAGCACTTCCGAGGAAAAGCAGTAAAAAGAATAAAAACATCTCTGAAAGAATCCTGCATTAAGGTTATTTGGGGAAGGGAAGGAGTAGATCATCTGAAGTTTTTTCTGTATTTTTTCATAACAAGAAGAGACACGTGCATTCTGGACTTTCCAGTCACATCTAGTCGGTAGGTGGTTACGTCATTTTCCTTTTGTTGTTAGGTTTAGCTCTATTGAAGACTTACTCCTTTTTTACTCACTACTGAGTTATAAACTCGAACTCCCCTTTTTCCTACAAAAGGTAAGGCACAAATGACAGCATCACCTATTAGACACATACAAAATCTAAGAACAGACCCCTACTACTAAACTCGTAAATAAGTCTCTTTTTTTTTTGATCGTCCTTTCTGATGAAAAGCTGAAAGTTAAGAATGTTAGAATTTATTCTTGATTGCATTAGTCAGAACATAATACACCATTGTACAGTCTATAATCATGTTAAGTTTATTCCCTGAAGTTAGCAGCCAGACAATCCTGGAACTGCATGCTGCCTCAGAATACTGATGAAAGAGATTTAGCATTTGCTTTATCAGTTTAAAGTTACTGGGAGGGCAGTAACTAGCAGAAAAGGGCTGACAGAGACCGGAAAGCCAGCAAACACAATGCACCTCAGATACTTTTGCACAAAGTCCAGCAGCTTAGTTTAAGCTGCTAGTGCAGTTTAGTTCCAAATGAACAAATGTGGCCAAGGTGTGAATACACATCCTGTTCTGCCAACACTGCTCCAAGGATTAAAACCTCAGACCAGATGGTGACTTCCCAAACAACCAGAGCCAAGAGTCAGAACTGCTCTTCCAACACCACCTTCAGAAAGATCATAACAAATTGTGCTTTGAAAGTTCTCTTCACAGTAAGAAATACTGGGAAGTACATACTACTACTGCAAGGAAGAAATTTATACACAAGAAGCATCTTGAGCAGTCATGCTCTTTCCTATAGAGAAGGTAATTTTTCTTCCACATTTTGAGGAACAATACCACACAGAAAAAAAAAATTCAGAAACGCAGCAACAAATACACAGGAGGAAATTTTCCTAAAGTCAGCTAAATAAAGCCAACTATGATAAAAGGATTAGAATTTTTAAATGTAACAATTTCACAAAGGGCTTTCTGACAAACAGCTGTTGCGCTTTTTTTTTTTTTTTATTGTGTAGGTTTGGGCAAGTCACTTCATCTCTCTGCTGTACTTCAGTTCTCAGTGATCTGCTTATACAAAGTCCCGGGTAAAATCTAAGCCATATTACTTGGAATATAGGAGTTTTGGGGCCAGAGGCTGGAACTTACACCTTTAGGAGGCCCAAACCTAGCAGCTTCCCCACTTCATTCCAGAAAGGCATCCCAGGTTCCCTGCAACTCCCTTTCTAAAGTAGCCTAAGTGGCTGAAGAGCAAAAGAAGCTAAAGAACAGCAATCATGGAAAACCTCGGATTTCGGCACTGTATCAGAGTAAGGGACAGAGGACAGAAATGATCCTAACTCCTTCCCTCTCTAACTCTCCCATGGATTTCATATTGAAGCCAAACTTGCAAAACCACATCATGTACAGAAAGAGAAATACCTAGGTAGTGATGTACATTCATGGGATTGCTGGGCAGAGTAGCTCAAGACAGGGCACTGCTGCCAACATGCAGTTATTATCATAGGAGAGAGAGAATCAAATGCAGGGCCACTGCCTTTCAGAAGGGAGCTGCGTTGCAGACCTGATGAGATTCAAAAACTTCCTCAAACTGGTCCCCAAAAGTAAATACCAATTTTTACATGAACCAGTCTTCTGAAGCAGTTAACAGACATTTGGGGGTTTATTTGCAGTTTGTGTTCAACAAATAGGGGGGGGGGGGGGGGGAATCTTTTCTTTTAATTTTGTTTCAGCATTACAACCAACAAAACAAACTGATAAAATATAGAGCTACATAATAAAAGGAAAAGAGAACAGAAAAGCAATATAAATGTTGATCTATTTTCAGAAAGCAACAAGAAACAAATTTTAAAAGGACGCTTCCTGCCTTCTTGAAAGATGATAATCAATGTCAGGCTAATTCATACTTTCTTTTATCAGACAAACAAAATCAGGTCCTGTATTAAAGAC